CTGATCTGATTGTTGACCCACTAGATTTTAAGGAACCCGACGAAATACTGGACCCCTTTTTTTCCTTTTGAACCACGGGCGGGCTGGGCAAATTTTTATCCTCAATTAATTGGGTCATTTCCATAATGGCTTTGAGCCCATTGGGTTTCATGACCCACATCTCTTTCCACAACTCTTCCTTCAGCCCGTTAATGAACAAGCTTTCTTGAACAAACACAGGTACGCCGCCGACCGTTCCCCCAACTTCCTTGAATCTTCGCCGGTAATCCCTCACCGTTGTCTCCTGTCGCACCGCCACAAACCAGTCACACAACGTCCCTTCCATCGACAATCGGAATCTCTGGAGAAGCAGTGCCTGGAATTCTTCCCACGTCTGGATTGGCCTCTGCTTCTCCTCCCATTCGTGCCACATGAGGGCTTCGCCGTCTAAGCACAAAATTGTAGCCTCTAGTTTTTCGTTGTCCGACAATCGGTTGATGACGAAATACCTTGCAACCACCCATCCAGGTTCTCCCCTTCAAAAATCGTCACCTCTATTTTTCGTAGCCGCAGGTCATACACCAGCGCCAGTACATTCGAGAGTCGATTGGACCCCTCACTTGATGTTGCAACGCTGGCAAGTGTTTTCTCCCCTTCTTCCATTTCCTTCTCTAGCCCCAACGTTTTCTCCCCTTCTTCCATTTCCTTCTCTAGCCCTTTACCTTCCTTTTGTTTCTCATCGATCCCCATTTTTCTGAGATACGACTGCCATCCATAACCTCATCTCCTCCTTGAAAAGTGTCATTTCCTTCTTCATTGATCCCTTACTGTCTTCCACAGCGGAAGCGACCCCAGAAAGTTGTTGTTCCACAGCTTCTACTCTGCTTTCCATTCTAGTCACCATACCCTGGAATCACCAGCTCTGTTACCAAAATGATAGAGTTTACTTCTATTATTTATGTATAGAGGGGAAAATTACAGGTCGAGGGAGAATTCAAGAGCTCCCTAGTCTCTCCTACAATGCCTCAGCACAATCTACCAAAAAGATAACCCACCCCTCAACGTAGCAGACCATATAACCACTCATTCTTCTCCCAAAAATACCCCTCTAACTAACTTGGGCCCACACTCGTATCTTCTTTTCCCCTATTACCCTTCCTTCTAACATACCTATTTATAATTGGGGGTCTATCATAATCTAGGGTTATCATTGAAGGGAAGACCCAAATAAGATTTATTGAAATTGGTGCTTGCTTGCTTCCGATGCTGGGGGCCAAAAATAATGTAGGACTCATCAACAATTAATGCCTAAATTTTCAAATTTACTGAAATTGATGTTAAGATCAGATGCTTCCTCAAAAATCTTGACAATATTGAGATGATAATCAATGTAACGCATGTCATGAGAAGAGAAAAGAATAGTTTCGTTTGCAAACTAAAGGTTGGGTGATGGATGGTTAGGTCACTTGTACTCATATTGAAGTTTTACTAGGTCATGAGAAGACCCACGAGAAAAGCCTACTATGGAAGTATGAAACAATGGTGAAAATGAAGAAAGATAATTGGGTGCTTATTTATGCTGGAAATGCAAACCCAGATCTTAACTCCATGAAGTGCCAAAACCTTTTAAGAATCACATCCAAGAAATACCAATCTATTTTGTCAAAGGCTTCTTGCAAGTTCATTTTGATAACCACCCCATCCTTTTCCTTCTTTCCTAATCATCAACAAGCTCATTTGTAATGAGAGCAATATCTAGAACTTGTCTACCACCAACCAAAGTAACTGAAATTCAGTGATTGCACGGGGAGACCTTTGGCTTTCATGCTATGTCTTGGTGTAGATCAACACACTATTTTCATTCTTATAGTTTGAGCTCTTTATTATCCAATTGGAGAAGTTTTATGTAACCCCTTTGGTTTTTGGTGGGTTTGCCCCTCTCTTTGTAATTTCATCCATCAATGAAATTGTTTCTTAAAAAAAAGAGGTTCCTTTTATTCTTTTTTACTAGTGTACAGTTCACCTCCAATGGGTGGTGTTGTAGTCACACAAAAAATTTTGTTGTAACTACAATTTGTCAATTACAATGTTTTCGAGGCACAAGGCGCACCTCAAGGCGATGCCCTTTGATCGTCTTGAGGTGAGAGGCAATACAAAGGCGCGCTCGAGTGAAGCGTGGGGCACCTTAATAAATAAATAAATATTATATATATAGTGCATAAATTTATATAGTAAACATAATTTAAAAAATAAATACCAAAATAGTGTCATAGCAAATGTCAACAAGATACATAAAACAACCAAATTCAATAAGTTTAGTCGGAAACGGGAGCAGCAACGGCGATGGTCGGAGACAGGAGCGGGCGATGGCCGGAGATTAAGGGTGGTGAAGGTGAATGTCGAGAGGCAGAGAGAATGGTTAGGGTTTGTGGACCGAGGTATTTCGCGAGGGAGAAAGATTCTTATCAAAAAAAACACAATAAAAATGAAAAAATAATAATAATAAGGCAGATCGCCTCACTTCAACAAGGCGATCGCCTGGCCTCAGGCGAGAGGCGCGCAAAGGCACAACGAGGCGAGCGTCCAATTGAAGGCGCTCGCCTGGGCACCTTGCAAGGCGCACCTGGGCAAAATCGCCTTGCCTCTCGCCTGAGGCGAGCGCCCGAGTACGCCTCAATAACACTGGTCAATCATCCTTCGTAATTGGAAGGCTCTTTATCTTGTAGTTTCTAGGGCAGGGGCTTTCTCGATCCCTTGTCCATAGGCTGTGTTTTTGTTTTTCTCCTCTTTTTTATAGAAAAAAATAATTATAAAAAAAAAAGTATTTAGTTTGTCCAATATCATAGGCACAAGTATTAAATAGGGAAAGATAGTTATAAAATAAATATTTGAGAGAAGTGTCATACGTAAGGATCCCCTGAATCTTAGTTCCAGTTGTCATGACAACAGAACTAACTCGCAGTTCCCGCATTTTTTTTGCAGCAACACATATAGGATCTGATGCCGACACGATTGCAGCCCTGAAAACATATAAAGCTACAAAACTTGGTAATGATCCAAGAGTATATTACATATCTTCTTCTAACTTACACAGAATTTGAAGGCTAGACAAGGTACTTTGTGTTTTCAGAAATGATGGTTGATAAGGAAGGTTTAAACATCCGCTCCCTCAACGTCTCAATAAAGGCATATGGCGCTGAAATGATGATAAATAATTTTAGTAAGAATTATACAACCAAATATGAAAATGAATCGTTAAAGAAAAATAATGACTTGTAAATGGTATGAAATGACCTCTAGGTGGATGCAGGGAGCTTTTACTTCTAGAATATTATGCATCATGTTATTCCCACTTGTTATAGTCAAATGGTTTGTAGATAAATTAGAGTCTTCATTTGTTAATATAAGTTTTTATAACCATACAGTGAATTAATTCATAATGGGTGAAGGAACAATAACATAATAAAATGTTCGTTGTCCTTCCTACACTAGGAAAATCAAAATGGTAGGACAATCGGCGATATGTTATTAAATTTCAATATGTTCAATATTCAAACAAACATGGGAAAGTTAAAACTGACTAATGTATAATAGTGGCCACATCAAGCTTTCCCCAAACAAACAAGTCATTTCCTATGGTGACATAGGAAAGTTATGAAATTACAATACGTTCAATATTCAAGTAAACATAGGAAAGTTAAAATCGATCAATGTACAATAGTGGCCACATCAATCTTTTCCCGAACAAACAAGCCATTTCGGATGGTAACATCCAAAAGTTATGAAATTACAATACATTCAATATTCAAGGAACATAGAAATTTCAAATAAACCATGTATAATAGTGGCCATGTCAAGCTCTCCCCAAACAAACAAGTAATTTCATATGGTGACATCCGGAAGTTATGAAATGGCGATACGTACAATATTCAATGGAACATAGAAAGATAAAATCATTCAATGTACAATAGTGGCCACTTCAAGCTCTCCCCAAACAAACAGATCATTTCTCATAAATTGGAAGAAAAAAAATCTAAAATAGTTGTTAACACTCATCTGAAGTCAAGTTTTCATAAATACTCACTAGACATCAATTCGGAAGAATTTCTCCTTTTCCCACTGAATATAAATTATAGGAAAATATCTTCTAATCTTTAGAAATCAAGTAGAGATGGCGACAATATAACTTATTAATCACTCATCTGATTTTGAGTTACATTCTCGGTGCACAAAGATAAATATCTTGTTATCATTAGAAGCCAAATAGAGAGAGAGAAAGGATGCTTTACTAGTGTCATGTGTTCACTAGAAACATTTAATTGTGTGTTCACCAATAACCAACTAAAATATTAGCAAAATAATACGTGCTTGACCTCCATTTGTATCTAACATCATTATCATTAGTGGCATACCATAGCAATAATTACAACCCGACGTTAAAATTTAATTCAATTGTGCTGATACTTGATCATATTGAAGCATTTGTGCACATCATTCCCTTAACATTCATGTGATCTATTTCAAGATAAAGGTTATTTTTAAATCTGATTAACTCACCATCGTCACACCAGTCAAAATAAAAAACAGAAAATGCATTTATAAGTTGACACAAGATCTACTTGAAGAAGCACATAAAGTAGGCACAACATACCAGAAAAATCACTTCCCCACTGGCGTTCCACCCCTTCAACAGCAGCAGCAATGGCACTACCCTGCTCTGCGGCCTTCTCCATTCTCGATATGGCATCATAGAGGCACTTTGTAATATCCAACAAAGCAATAACTTCACCATTTTCAACAACAGGAAGATGCCTAAATTTTCCTATTGACAATGAAGCGCAGAGATGTAAGATGCTTAAGTGATCAGGTAACAAAATTAATCAAAGAGGAAAGACCTCACTACCAACAAAATACTAAATGCTTAAATGTAATGCAAAATTCAACCACAATAAATATTCTTAGGTGCTGTAGTTGTAGAAAAATAAAAGCATGAACTTCAATTAAACACTTCAATTTTTTTTTTTTTGGTTGATAAAAACCAACACTTTCATGGAGAGAAATGAAATAAGATACTAGAACAAAAAGGGCATACAAAAAGACAGCCCTGAATGAGGAAGCCCTCTATAGAAAAGGACTCCAATCCAAAAGAATAAGGCCTGCCACAAAAAATGCCACAAAAAACGACCCCTGTCACGAAAAAGGGGGGTAAATTACAAATAACCAACTAAAAGAACAATTTAATTTACACTATGAAAACACACCTAATATACAAACTTATCGTCTAACAAAAGAAAATAGGAAGATTACTTCATTAGAAATATTGCAACAGAAGATCGAAAAATCAGATAGACCTACCAATGACATAAAATAGCTCTACGTATCAAGCACCAATTTGGAAGCTACCACGGAAGGCCTATGGAATACCACATGATATACGGCAGCACGACACGACATCGACACGGCGACATGCCAATTTTTAAAAAAGTAGGACACTACACGTCGGGGACACGTTATTTTTTCTAATAAAAAATATATAAAAATATTAATAAACTATTTAATACTTAAATAAAAATTCACTAAAATAGTTAAGAAAAAGAAGAGATATTAAGAGACAAAAAGAGGAGAATTTTAGAAACAAATCTTGAAAAAGATGGTTTAGGAGTAAAATTTAAACTAAACAAGACTATAATCTGCATACATAATAATTGTTTGGAATTAAAAAATTGACACTTGTCAATCATGGAGGAGAGACATGGCATGCACAAAATTGCCCATTATTAGTCCTAGAAGAGAGATATTGCATGCAAAAAATTGCCACTTGGCACTTGTTAGGCATGTAGCAGAGATATTACATGCAGATGCAGTTAGCATTAAATTTTCTTTCTTTTTATTTTTGTTCTTCTTCTCCTATCTTTTCCTCTTTCTCGTCCTTCTGCATATTTTCTCTGGTTTATCTTCTTTCTTATTTTTCTATTATTGATTCTCTTCCGACTCATCTTCTTCTTCCATTTTTACTTATTCCTTACTTTGACTCTGCCATGTACACCTTTAAGGCGTGAAGGGCTCGCCTCAAGAAAACTCGGGTTTATTTTGTGGATTTTTACTCTTTTATCTCAATGTCATTTTACTAAACGGCGTGTCCCTCCCGTGTCTCCGCCGTGTCTTAAGTTGTTGCCGTGTCTCCGGCCTGTCCAAAGAAGAATAATAATAAAAAAATCAGGACACGCTAACTAGCATATCGGACACGTGTCGGGCACATGTCCGAGCGTGTCCGTGTCCGACACTGACACTCCATGATTTCTACGTGTCGGTGCTTTTCTACTATGAAATGAAAAAAAAGGACAAATTATTAAAACAAGGAAAAAAAAAACAAAACAGCCTAAGGGCAAGGATGAGAAAACCCCCTCAAGAACTCTAATACATTATTGCCTTCCAATCTTGAAGGATCAAAGATAAGCTGTAATTACAAAATTCTTGTGCTTATGGCACCATAAAAAGGTTATAAGTTGTACACCGTTAGTAAAGGAGTACATACTTGATAAAAACCCTTCAAAAACTCTACCGTTTCTTTCTCTACAAATATTCCAATAGCATCACATCCATAAAGTCCTTGTTTTGCCCTTTAAATACCAGCCATAAAATACTTCACCGAACCCATCAATCGAATTGGCCAGACAGCATTGGACGTCAAAGATATTAAATAAAAAATTACATCCTTTAGAAGTGAACTTACAATGCAGAAAAATGTGATCGAGGCTTTCTTCGTCTTGTTGGCAAAGCCTACACACTAAAGGGAACTGGTACTATGAAAATTATCAGACAAAAACAAAGGAGGTATTCTCTCATCAATCATTTTAGGACAAAGGGGGCCTTTATCTATACAGTTGTTTCTCCTACACCCTCCCCTCATCTAGGTATTGTCTCATCAACTGTTTCAAGACAAAGGAAGCTCTTTAGAATCCAGTATTTTCTTGGTAGAATATTTGACTTGAGAGACAAAGGAGAATTTTAAAATTTAAGATTGAGAATCTTGGGAGGAGGTGTGGCCTACAGTTAGGTTCAACGTTTGGTGTCAATGACCAAGGAGTTCCATAATTTTCCTTTGTCTCTTATTCTCAACAATTGAAGCCCTTTTATCTAATTTCTTGATTTTTTTTTTATGAGATTCAGAAATATGAAAGAATGTACAATTTCTTGATTTAATTTATTGCTTTGATTTCATGTACAAGCTTCTTTTGACCCGTCATTAATCCATCCAAGATGTCGGGAATAGTGTTTCTAAGAGTTAAGAGCTTATATTTAGGAGTAGCTTAAATAATGGAGGAGAAACAGTAGAATAGTCTTGCCTGTTACAAATAGTGGAGACCACAGTCGAGTGCTATGGAAGATTGCAGATTAGGCATATTGGCAAATTTGGAAACTTTTACTAGTAGATTAAAATCCCTCCCCTCCTTAAGACAGTTGTTTACGACCAAAAGATCCTCCCTAAGCTATTATATTACATTGATATCTCAGGAGCGCAGTCAGATAATCCACGCGTGAAAACACAGGACAACAGCAGAAGAAGGAAAACAAACCCTGGACCATTTTCTGAAGGGCTTCAATAGCAAGTGAATCTGAAGTAACAAAAATTGGATTCCTTGTCATGATTTTTGAAACAACTGTCTGCTCCGGCCTCAGCCCCTCCGCTATCACCCTGGTGGCGACATCCTAAGAGTATCAAAGCAAACTCATAAAACCAGAGACAAAACAGAGTAGACTGGGAGTAGTAATAACAAGATCCCAACAAACCTTATCCGTGAGAATACCCGAAAGCAACGCATTCGCATCCGTCAGCAGAACAGCATCAACACGACGAGCAGCCATCCGACGACACGCTTCGGAAACCGTAGTCCCCTCCGGAATCGTAAGCGCTTTCGACAACCTCAGCTTCTTCACCGTCCTTTCCCCAGCAGCAGATCTAAATCATCCCCATAACACCATCAAATCAACACAAAGCAGAAATGAACCAAAAAATCCCAAAAAGGGAAACGGAAAGCTGCTCACGTCAACTGAGGAGGAGAAGCCGGTTTCGCCACATTGCCATTAGAGCTCCCGTTCTCAGACTTTCTGCTCGACGTCAAAGAAGAGCGTTTCTGGGCGAGAGCGTTCCTCCTCTGACCAGGAGGCGGAGCGACTTGGCTACTCATCCTTAACCAAACACCAAATTTAGGGTTTCAAATCTTCTCTCCCGATTCCGACGAGAGATTTCTACATCAAAGAGGGTGTTGCGAATTGGAATTCCGATTGAAAAGCTTGATTGAGAGAGAGAGAGAGGTTGAGGTTTGAAGGTTTGGCTATGGCGGCTGTAACGCTGTCCCGAACGTGGGAAGCAACCGTCAACCTTTCTTCCCCGCCTCCCTCCGCCTGGCTGAGTAAGCTTTCAAATTAAAACTCTCAATTTTTTTTTTTTTTTTGAGGAAATCAGATTTTTGTTTTTGTAATTTCATTTTTTGTTTTTTTAATGTGTTGTTTATGGAAAGAGAATACGAACAAAAGTTTAAGGATTGGCTGACAAGCAGCCGCACGGAACCTTTTTTTCCTTTTTTTTTTTTTTATTCCTTCTTATGAGCATACGAAACGACAAAATGGAATTTTGTTTTCAACTCCTTGGTTTTAATAATATACATTTTAAGGTTAAAATAACATGAGGTTTATACAAGAACAATGAGAAAATGAATTTGAGCGTGAAAAGGGGAGTTCCCTTTCATTGCTGAATTCTTGAAGGTTGGAACATGATACCAAATTTATAATAGTTTGAGGTGGCTTATAATAGCGTGAGGTTGAATCTGAATCTATGGACTTCTTAATGGAGAGATTGAAACGACTAATGAAGGCAATATTAGGATTGAAGGCATTCGAATGTTGTTGAGGAACTTTAGAAAGACAGTGCTTGCCTCGTATCATAAGAAGTCTCAATGGCCTATGCATGAGCTTTGAAAAAGTAGCTTTAAACAATGTGGTATCCCTCTTACAAGTTTTTATTTAATGTTTTAAAGTTTTCTTTCAATTGAATACCTCATGATTGATAAATGTTAAATTAATGAAAGATAAACTTCCATGATAATATTTATGTCATGTTTACTTGCCAGGAATCTGAATGAGAATGAATCGGAATAAAAATCAATCGGAATGGGAATGTTATTCCTTTTATGTTGTCTACCAAACACTTTATGGAATCAGAATCATAATTCTTTTGATATTGTTTACTAAAACGGTTTAGAATCGGAATCGGACTCAGATATATAACAATTACTAGTATATCTTTTTCTTCTTTCTAGTTAATTATAAATACATTATTGTGCTATTTTTTTTAATTACAATAACAATACATTTTATTGTATTTTATTAATATATGATTGATAGTAAATATTTTTTTGTTATAATAATTTATAAAATATTAATAATAATAAATAATTAAAATAAAATTAGATCAACTAAAACATTTTTTATTAGAATTTAATATAAGATATTATTAAATTTTATTATTCTAATATCCACTAACAATAAATTATATTTTAAAAAATCTATTAATATTAATTAATAATAACAAAGTAAAATTATTATAATTATAATTATAATATTTTATAATAAAATCATTCCAACCAATAAAAGTTGTATAAATTTTTATTGGAGTAAAAAATATTATTAGTAGAAATGAAAAAAATAAATTATAAAGTTATGAGTCTCATTAATAAAGAGAGAGAAAGAGTGGAAGTAGTAAAGTAACTCTAATAAATATATGGGGTCCATCGAATAAAGAAATAGGAATGAGATTAATTATGGTGCAGAAGAGGAATGTAACTGCCCATTGAGATTCCCAAATTTGTGGTGGGTCCCACAATTTGATTTCATTCCTGCAATTGGTAAACTACATCAAGAATCTCATTTTGTTTGAATTCGGTATGGATAAAAGATCTTGCTATGTTATACTATTCAATTCTCGACGATGAATCGATTTTATAGCTCAGATATTGTTATTCATGATATTTTAATACGATTCGATATCATCGAGATGCAATGCATCCCATTGAATTTACAAGCGAAACATTTATCAGCTCTATGGGATTAAATCTCGAATTATTGCGAATAAAAAATGAAACGATGAGATTATGGAAGTAAATATTCTCGCATTTATTGCTACTGCACTGTTCATTCTAGTTCCTACCGCCTTTTTACTTATAATATACGTAAAAACAATAAGTCAAAGTGATTAATTTGAATTAACCTTGACTTTTTAGTTCTTGTGAAATTGAAAAATTCATTCTCATTCATTCCTTGATTCTCATTCCCTAGAAGTAAACGTGGTCTTAGTGCATTTGCCAAAAATGTAGAGGATGAAAAAGGTCATCCAAGACAGAATTTTTTTTCTTTTAATTTCTAAGAAATTTGGTAAACTTCAGGGTCATTTCAGCTACGGGGTTGTAAGGGGTAGGCTTGAGTAAGAAACTTCATTTCTTGTACAAGTAAAAGAATTTAAAAATTACAAATTTGAACAGTAAATATACTATTCAACTTACCTAATTTACTATTAAACAACTCATTTTATTTATTATATCTCTCTTATCTTCTTTCAAATGGATCAGCTATCAAATCATATATATTTTCTCTTTATCTTTATCCTCACAAGATGGTCTCATCCTCTCAAGTTTGGTGGGTCCCACCAATTTTTTTAAATCTTGGTAGGTTATAACATTTCTCTCTTATATATTTTTTTTAACTGCACTTCCTTACTCCCATATTTTTTCTTCTATCTTCCAAGTATTCAACTTTTCTTTTTTTACCATTTAATTGTTTCAACTTCACCTTCCTTCACAATTATACCTATCAAAATTTTAACATATTTTTTTAATTAATAGATGTATGAATTATAATTCAATTTTTTGTATACGTAATTTTTTTAATATATGTATATGTAGTCATGTCTTCATATATAATAAGTTTTAAAATATCAAGCTTAAATAATTAAATTTAGACATATGTTGAAATCAAATTAATTAAACACTTAAATAATCATAATTTTTAGTGAAAAATTACTATTATTATTTTAATTATAGTTCCCTCTAAACATATTTAAATAATTATAGTTTGTAAAAATAATATTTTAAATCAGTGACCTTAAAATAAGAAGAATAATTTATTTCAAATTTATAAAGATAAAGCTATTTAATTGCGAGCGAACAAATATTAAAATAAAATAATATATTTATTTTTTCAAATTAGTCATTCAAAATATCAAAATAAAGTATATTTTATTTTGAACTTACTAAAATAAAATATATATTAAAAAAGATGTTTTATTTTTAAATTAGACACCATCAAAATAAGAAATATAGACGTATGTATTCATTTTGAGTTTAGTCAGTTAAAATAATTTAAATATGTATTATTTTATTTTTGATATAGTTAATTTAAAAGAAATAGAGACTGTATTTGATTTTCAAGGTAATCAAATTAAAATAACAAAAAGTATAAAAAAAATGTAATTTTATCATTACTTAAATAAAATTATAAGGTTATGAAATAGAAATAAAGTAAATAAAGAATATAGAATTCAAATCATAACCCATTTAATTTTAAAAAATATTCATAAAATAATACAACTCAACATTTAAATTTTATAATTCACGTAAATAAATTTTAATGAAAAATTTATTAGAAGTTGACTCTAACTTTTTAACAAAGAAAAAAAAAAACCGCCAACATAAATCCAACCTTCACAAACTCTAGACTTGATAACTCTGCAATTTGAACACAACACATACTTCAGAACTCTAAGTTAAGAAACTCTGCAACTTGAAAACATATTAAATAACTTCAGAATAATTAACTTGCCAGATTTAACAACTCAATGCTTAACAACTCCACTTTGTGGCTTGAATGCCTCTTTAGAGAGGTTTGTTCTCTCAATGACATTTTTTCTATTTTTTTTTAGTACACAATGACATTTTTTCTATTAAAACTATAAATAGAGATAATATGAAAATTTTTCGAGGCTAAGAAGTAGTACATATTAATTTCTCCTACCATGCAAACCTCACATTATCTCTCTTCATTTCTGTCTTTTACATGCAAACCAACCCATTAATTATCATTCATCCTTCTCTCGCATTCCTCACCATCTTGTCAATCCACCATTTCTCTCATTTTTCTCAAAAAAAAAAAAAAAAACTTACCTTGTAACACCCCATATTCTCATAAGATATCTTAGAAGTTTAATTTTTATGGTTATGTAATTACTATTAGTATTATGAATAAAAAAATTAATTAGCAAGAAAAGGGAAAAAAAAGAAAGAAAGAGGAATTAGAGAAGAAAAAAAGAGAGAGAAGTGCTACAGGCGTGAAATTGGAAAAAAAAATGATAATAATAAGTTTTGAAGGAAGAATTTTGGCGTAACTTTAACGTGTGCGTGATGTGAACTAAGGAAGCACCATTGTCATGCCTCAAGGACCCATAACGAGATCAAGAGCCAAGAAGCTAGAACAAGCTTTACTTTCTCATGTTCAATACTTGGTGAGCTCGGCTAGGGATGATCAAGAGAGATTGCAAGTCATCCATCAATTAATGGAACTACACTTCAAACTACTTCAAGTGAAACTTCATTTACAATTGGGAGGTTACAAAGACTTTGAAGGGTGACCAAGACTTCAATTCT